CCAAAGGATCGTGCAGCATTTCTCCACTCCCAGATTTGGCACATTTGTACACCTTGGTGCTGCTGCTAAGTCAGGCAGGAAGGAGCTAACCTAACAACACCGCCTCTGTATAGTATTCAGTACCCTTCCTGGAAACAGTGTTTCACATTTGGTTCCCTCAGCTGCTGTGAGTCACAATGTAGCAAATCTGACAATTAGACAGTGGCCCTTACTCCTTGCCAAGCCCTTAGTGAGACAGTTTTCAGGGTATGTTAGCCCTGGTCCACCACACTGTTACCAAAACCTTTACATTACAGCGGTTCTCAACCTGTGGGTCGCGACCCCTTTGGGAGTCGAATGACCCCTTCACAGGGGTCGCCTAAGACCATCGGAAAACAAAAAGATATTTACATTACGATTCATAAAAGTAGCAAAATTAGTTATAGTGTAGCAATGAAAATAATTTTATGGTTGGGGGTCACCACAACATGAGGAACTGTAATTAAGGGTTTGCGGCATTAGGAAGGTTGAGAACCGCTGCTTTACAATATTTTGCACCTGAGGCTACATACCCAGCAGCAAAGCAATGCTTTGGAATTGCCTGGTTCATGTTCCTTTTTCTGGGTGAAAACACACTGGATGCTTACATGTAAATTCGAGTACAGGGAGTAGAAGGGAAAGGTAATAAATATAGCACAGGAAATAAGGTGAACTACTTATCCGTTTTGCTTCTGTCCATTCTTCTCAGCCCCATTTCTGGAGAACACTTTTTATACTTCTCTGGTTGTGAGACATCAGGACCTGCTGGGGGCCATAGGTTATTCGGCTTCCTAAGAGGTCTATAACTTGGAAATAGAGCAACACAGCGATAGGCCTTTCAGGCTTGAGGGTAGTTGCAGGTAGTCAGTCACCTTGGGGGCTCAGCACTTATTCCTTCTCCCGCTTCGGTGGTTTCTAGCTTGGATACCCACAGAAGGGCTCCGAAGGCCCTGTGAGCCATGCGTCCCCAGGCCAAGGTGAAATCCTTCCCAGTGGATTCAGCTGCGTCGGGAGGAAAACATGTCATCGTCTCCTCACTACAGTAGCCACTCCAGGAGGACAGGGAGTTTGGCTTCCTTGTTTACAGTTGTGCCAAAGGAGGCACTTGATAAACATTTGGTAAATGGACAGATTTACTCGGGATATGCAAACAGTTCATTTGTTGGGGTTGATGAAGGTTGTTTTGTTTCTCCCCCCAGCAGATTCAGGGAGCATGCCAGGCCCCTATGTCCTAATATATGATTTTTATAAGCTCACTCATTTTTATTTAACAAATGTAAACATCTTCTCTCATGTGCTATTTACTCATTTAGATATGGACATAACCATGGTGTTCACTTGTGATTAATCACCATCCCATCTAGGCTAGAGCTTGCTTGCCAGACAAGGTTGATTTTCTAAGCTCCCCACCCCGATGCTCATCTGCCTTAAGTGTGAATTTAAACTAAATGAAAAGTCTGACATTCTGTAATGGCATCAAACCTAGGGTACTGTTAATACCAGAGCCGAAGGACCCTAGGTCCAAGTCAAGAGGAGGGATTATTCAGTGAGGTCAAAGGCCAGTCAGTATGTTATGAAGCCCCTTAAACAGTTGTCTGTAACACTTGGGTGCTTTTAACAAGAAAATGGGAATAAAACATACAAACAGAACTAAGGCATAGCTAGCTTCAATGCCTGGAAAGAATTTAAAATGGCATTGAAGGATTGAAATCAAAAGGAAACCCTGTTAAATGTCTATTCCTATAGATGAAACAATGTGGCGGTAGGTTCTCTCCTCTTTGGAGTGATTGCAATTGTGAAGGTATGTGCCCAGCTTCTGAAGAAAGAAACCCACCTATCTTTGAAAAGGGTAATGTCGCTTATAGACAGGTGTCTGCATTACTTAGGTCTCATTGGTTGAAGAGACAACAGGACGCCATACACCTCTCAGCCAGAGAGAGGCTCTGCAGAATAATTTAAGGGTCCCAAATTATCAGGCAAAAGTAGTTCTCATAAGGTCTTTAATGATGACTAAGAAACTTCACTAACCAGAGCTTTAGAACTTTGGTCAGGAGTATATATTACTTAAGGCAAAAATGTCTCTCTACCAATTTAGCAAAATAATATGGCAAGGAAAAACTAACAAAATGTTTTCCAGAATTTTGAACAGACTTCCCCCTACCGTCCCCCCACCCTTTT